CTCCAGAAAAAAGAGCACACAGTCCATTCAGAGGTTTATCCAAACACACAGATGATGGATCAGTAGTGCTGGAGCTCACACACACTTTCTCAGGAACACAGAGAGATAGAACCGTAGCGACGAGACGCCACCTCGATACCATGCTCGATACGGTTCTTCTTCTTCTTCTCTCGGTTTTTGGCGGATTGCAAACAACTTTAAGGTGCATACCGCCACCTACTGTACAAGAGTGTGTATCACCATATCATCCTATCACCACTTGTGGAATTATACCACTGTATTCACGTTGTTTTAAATTCTTCCAATCAATCCTGTTTCACTCAAATACTTAAGAATGGCCTTCCTGGTAGCTCTCACCCCCTCACCTTCTGTTCCCAGTATCCCCATCAGGCTCCACTCCCTTCCTGCCTCTCTGACCCTGTCTCTTAGTTTTTCCCTCTCTGTTTTGTACATGTTGCAGTGTAATATGATGTGTTCCACATTTCCTTTCACTCCACACCCCCTGCATTCTTCAACTTCGCTTTTTCCCATTAAAAACATTGTGCCGTTTAATCCTGTGGTCCAATCTGAGTCTAGTGATAATGATCTCCTCCCGTCTGTTCCTTTCTGTATAGATCTTTATTATGACTGATTTTTGTAACTTGTGGTATCTCCTCACTTTCTGATCTTCCTCCCACCTTTTCTGTCATATTTCCATACCCTCCTTCTTAATTATTGCTTTTCCTTCTCCTTTTCCAAGTGAAACTGGTATTGCTATTTCCTTTTGTAACGCCTCTTTTGCTAACTTATCAGCATGCTCATTCCCTTTAACCCCCTCATGTGCACCCAGCATAACTGCACATATATTCCCCTCCTCTGAAGTCTCAGTAAGCAGTGGTTAAGTTCAATGATTAAATATTCTCTAACTGTTATTGTCGACTGTATACTTTCCAAAGCAGATAGTGAGTCTGTGCATATCACCACCCTATCAGGTCCGACCTCTTCAAATCATTGTAGCCCAATAATTGCTGCGAGTATTTCTGCTGTATAAACTGATATACATGCCTATCCCCACGCATTCTTGCTTCTTAGATCCATCTGTGTAAATGTGTAGGTAATTGTAATACTTTTCGTTCAGATACATATTCGTTTTAATTCTCACTTCATTTATTTGCCACTCTTTTTTCCTGTCTATGATACTCACATCTATATTAGCTTCTGGGAAAAGCCATGGGGGAACACTACTAAATGGGCTTGCTTTGGCAAACTTTATGGTCTCCACTCCATATGCCCTCGTTCTCTCCTTACTTGTCCAGCCAAACCCACGCCCCTGGAACTTTGTATATTCCCAGCAATCCTGTAGTATTCTGTTTGTGATATTTTCCTCTCCACTTCCTTATAGCCTGACCCAGTATGACAGAGCAAGTTTCTCTCTTCTGATCTCCAGAGGTGTCTCTCCTGCTTCTATCAGAACTGCATTAATAGGGGATGACTTTATTGCTCCAATACACAACCGCAATGCTTTATATTGTAGTCTATCCATTTTTAAAAGCAACGTTTTTGCTGCTGCTCCATACACTATACAACCATAGTCTATTGTGGACCTCATAATTGATCTGTATATGTCTATTAATGCTTGTTTGTCTGCGCCCCAGTTGCATCCAGCTACAGCTCGCAATAGATTTAATACTTTTTTGCATTTTGTTTCCACTTGTTTAATATGTATTTTCCATGCATATTTGCTATCAAACCACAGTCCTAGGTATTTGAACTCATTCACCTTTGTCATTGGACGATCATATGTCAGCTGTTCAGCGGCGGAGCCAGCACATTTTCAGTGGGGTGGCCAGGATGGAACCAGTGATCATTTTGGGGTGGCATTGAAATCACTATTATATGAACATAAAAATACATCTCACTATAAAATAAGGGGTTATTTAAGGCACCTACAACACACCTCTACAGTATTTGGGATTAAGCTAGTGGTGGAATAGATAAAATAATATTCAGTATATCTAACTATTTTTTTCTTATTCCCACAGGCAAAGTATCAACGAAGCTTACATTATACAAATGTAATGCAATATACAGACTGTTTAGCTTATGGTGATCAGCAGCACTATGAGCTCATTCTCTCAGTGTATCATCAGGAATACAGAGACACACACACATAATTTAAATAAGAGTTTTTAAATTAAATGATTGGTTAAGAATAAACATCTTAAAGTAAATAACAATAAACAATAGCCCTTAACCCTGGAAGGCCCCCGGTTGTAATTGTACAACATTACTTTAAGCTATCCAAAAAAGTCAGTAAATGTTTTTGTTTTTTTAAAAGACTACATTTACATAGTCAAAAGGTTCTTTTGTTCAGCCTCACAATGCTATTGTGTTTATAGGTCCTGCCCTCTGGCCATACATATAAGACTAACATTCCTGACAATAGATCTCAATAGTCATCTTTTATGGTGTAAAAGCCTTTTTAATAATAACATTTTTGAATGGAACATTCTCAACATGAATGCATAAATCCAAATAAATATAACTTAAATATGTGGGGAAATACTGTGTTTGAAATGTATAATTGAAATGAGATGTTAGCTTTTTGTTTTGATATATATATATATATATATTTATTGTATTCCAGTCTCCCTTCAGATATGTTACGTGGCACGTAATTCAACACAATGCTGCTTACCTCCTTCAGTTGGGAGAAAAGCTGGTTCAGGTTTATTTCCCCTCTAGGCTTTCACGTTCATGTGATATGATTTTATTCAACCTCTTATTCAGGGACTCAAATGATTTATACCCTTACATTACCCATTAGAATGTATTTTCCTTTCACTTTTACATAACTGCCCTCAGTAAACCCTGGTCAACCCTTCAGCATTTACAAGAAATGCCCTCTGTTCTTCTAAATGGAACAAACACGTGCAGACTGTAGTCAGCACTTGGAATTGTAGCTCAAGTGGAGCTCTTCCTAGCTTCAGTCTTCCCCACCATCACATCCTGAGCACTTCATCATTCTACGTATCTGCTATCTGACGAGAAGGTTGAAAAGATAAACTATTTATAAAAGTTCGAATTTTTGAAATTTCAATGCAAAAGTAGGATTTATTTTCAGACACACATTCCAGATTAATGCAATTTCACAAGCTACTTTTAATGAACTGATCCACACTTTTACAACAGCCTGATCTTTGTCAAAGTGTTTTTAAAAGAAAAATGGAAAGGCTGGCTGCAGTCAAATAGTCAAAAAATCTGCCCCTATCGTCTATTCCTTAACCTCTGTGTGAAACGTCACAGGGTTAAGGAATAGTGGATAGGAGAATTCAAAAGGATTTAGGAGAAGAGACTGCGGTACTTTGAGGGTGTTTCTCAATCGCGAGTACGCTTGCTTGGTAGCACATGTCTGCCGAGCATCTTGCTTCAGAAGCGAGTCAAGAATACTTCCTGGCATTCGGAAAACGAAGAGTGGAACAGGCTAGCAAGTGTGCAGGTGTGCGTCATATGAGAGGCCCCGCCTTACATCTTCCGCCACAGATTTGGGGAAATTGGTCCGTGCGCAAAGCATTGTGGGGATTTTAAGACCGCGGAGTCTACTCATGTGCAGCCTCGATATTTCTCCAAACGGAGTACGCCGGGCTCGGTAGATTTCCAAGTATACTGGAGATTGGAATAGTACTTCGGCGGCACTCGATGACGTAGTATGCTTGAAATAGTGGCTCTGGAGCAGCTTTACTCGCGATTGAGAAACACCCTGAGAATCCGACTGCACTTTCACTAAACGTAGTATTTATGATGCGCCAGCGGACGTCATGAATGTGCGTCTGCTGTGGGGAAACTCGTTTTTTATACAGCGGACTACATGGATGTATAATAAGAACGACGGACTACTGCAAACACATCAAGAGACTTTGCACCACGCTCTGATTGTGTTGTTTTATGCTTTATGAACGTGGACAACAGAGAAACATATTCTTCATGACCAAAGTTGGAATTGAAATAAAAAAGGAAAGTGAAACTTAGGCTCGTCACCCTCTCCCTCTGGTCCACATTAATACAAATGATCCCAATTACCAATATGTATGATTGTATGAAAAGATCTTTAAATAAATACAAATGTATTCATTATAAACGTTAGTCCTTAACATCTATCACTGTGTAAATCACCATTAAACATGTTTTAAAAGTTGAACAAACCCCACACAGCTCAGTAAAGACTGTGTAATGTTGACTTTATTTGATCATTTCAGTAAAAACTAACATTTATATTTCTCTTTTTGATTATAATACTGATGAACATCATCATTCAACTGGTCTAGTGTTAAAAACTGCAGCATTTTATTAAACGGGTGGCAGTGGCTCAGTCTGTAGTGCCTTGGCATTGGGACAGAAGGGTCACCGGTTCACTTCCTGCACAAGTGCCCATGAGCAAGCCACTAAATGAGTTACAACATTTAATTGACATTCTTGAGTTTAATTATCAAGTTTTGTTAATACATTTTGGTTCTGACATGTTTCTGAAATAAGTTGAAAAGACTTTTCACCTTTAGATAAATGCTCTTCTTTAAAGAGTAAAACATTTTTCCTCAAACCCTTATCATGTTTAAAACAAAGATAAATAGTTCCATGATAACTTAACCCTTTAGATATGTTGATGCAAACGACTTGGCTGTGTTTTCAGAAGAATTGTCATGCTACAAACAAATGTATTTACCAGATTTTCCTTAAAGTACCTATCCAAAGCTGTAGTGATTGGTTGTCCAAACCAATTAAAAAGTTCAGCTATTATTGAGATAATTAATGAGTTTTGGGTATTTCTGGATTTAAAGGTCAATAATGGAAAATCCTTAAAGTTACCACAATTGAAAATGCTCAGATTCAGCACACATTCATTTCCAGTTTGCTGTTAATGGGTTCAGGCATTATTTCTTATTTTTTATGATGACATGACATTTTTTTGTTTAGATCCAGTTGTGAATAATACTGTGATTTCTAATAAGATAGACCCTTAAAACTGTCTTTTATGTCCTTTATTAAACAACAGAAGCACATAACACACTCAATGTGAAGTCAACAGTCTTTTATTATGGCACATTATTGATCACTATGTTTGTCTTTACACAATCATTTCTGTTCCAACATTTTCATATTGAATTACAAAATTCATTGCATATATAGATTTTAACCTTTCATTTTACAAAAGCCAACATTACGCCAGTTACAGGAAAGCCAAAGAAAACCTTACTCACCACTGAAATAACTGATATTACTATAAATCACATCAAACAACAAAATCTAAAAGGGGGCTGTGAAGATTAACAAGGGGGTATTCCAGCGGGTCAGACTGTATCATCAACGCCCAAAAAACCAAGACCTCACACCTTTTCCCATAGCGTTCACACCTTGTTCCACAGCGTTCACACCTATTTTCGCAGCGGAAAAAAAGTCGTCAATCCATGAAGCGTTCTCCTCAGCATCCTTCCTGGCCCTCCTGTCCTCCTCTTCTCTTAATCTCCTCTTTTCCTCCTCCATTTCTCTTTTGTGAGCTTCTCTCAGCCTTTCCCCCTCTTCTTGTATTCTCCTCCTCTCCTCCTCTGTTGATCTTTTGCTAGCTTCTCTCAGCCTTTCCTCCTCTTCTCTTAATCTCCTCATCCCCTCCTCCATTTCTTTTTTGCTAGCTGCTTTTTGCTTTTGATGCTTTTCTCTTTTTTTCCTCATCTCCTTCTCCATTTCTCTTTCACAAGCTTCTATCTGCCTTTCTGACCTCTCCCTATCCTCTTTGATTTTTTGTAATTGTTCCTCATTCTTTTTATCTAATCTCTTTTGAATTTCCTCTTCCTGTTTGCGTATTTCCTCTTCTCTCTCTTCAAGGATTCTCTGTTTTTCCTCTTCTAGCTCCCTCTCTGCCTCCTGGAACATTTCATTGGTGTAATGGCTTCCTCCGTTCTTCTCTGTTATCTTTCTGATCTTGTTGAGCAGCTCTTTGACCTGAGAACGATCCTCCACCTTATTATTGAAGACGTGGCACTGGCCGTTACATCTGTCCACAAGTTCCTGCAGGGCTTCGCTTTCCTTCAAGAACTCTTCAATAGTTTTGTCTTCGAGCAGGTCACCGTGGGTAAAGAGAACCATGCTGTATTTGTTCGCTTCCTCTCCAAAGATTTCCTGAATCTTCTGCACTGTCTGCTTTTCTTCATCTGTGAATCTGCACAGTTTGATGACGACCAGGAAGATATGAGGTCCAGGAGAAGCAAAAGCAACACTCTTACCAACATCTTTTCTGGTCTTCTCTTCATCAATGCTAGTGTCAAACAGACCAGGAGTGTCAATAACCTTAACTTTTTGTCCATCAACTTCACCAAAGGCATTAGAACAGTCTACAGTCATGGATTTAGCAGAGAACTTTGATGGAAAGAACTCTTTTCCCAGAATGTTGTTTCCTGTGGCGCTCTTCCCAACTCCGGTCTTCCCCACCATCACAATCCGGAATAACTCGTTATTGTATGTGTTTGATGGAGGGTCTGAAAAAAATGAATAAATATTTAGCAATCTAGGTATTTATAAAATGGTTCAACTACCAAATGAATGATGTTGACAGAGAGGGGGGTGGGCTCAAGATGGTTTAATAATCTAGAACATGTCTAGGAACTATGTGATTCAATTGATGTTTTTCATTTATTCCTGTAGACGCTATTCGCAACATAGAAAGCGTTTATTAGGTGAATGGCAGGTTTGGTGATAAAGGTAGTGGGTCTGTCAATGTCAAGTGATGCACCTTGAAGGGACCTTGTTTTTTCTTTACCGGAGCAAGAGAGAGGCACCATGATGAACTCAAATCAAACTAAATGGTAATCTTACCTGGATGTTTGACTTCTTAACTGCCTGTCTACAACCTGCACTGAAATGGTGCAGCAGCGGCCTCTAGCTGTACGTTTATTTTAATAAGATTTTTTTTTGGACAAATACTCACTAAAACATGTTTAGTTTATATCTTTCATACTTCTACAAATTACCCCATTTTAGGCCTAAAAAAACTTTGAAGGGTATAAGTTGCCTTTAGTTATAATCAGGACAGGAGCCCAAACAAACTTCGTACTGGCTACCCCTAAATAGTCTTGTGAAGAATGTAATACAAGCAAGTAAAAGCAGTGTCGCATTCGCAAAATCACCCAAGCTCTTAAAATGCTCGGAATTTAATAAATATTAATTTTGTATGAACTGTTTTGATCTGTTCATTATTAGGAAATATGTCACGCTACCTATCCATCTATAAATATGTATTTAGATAAGTTGCAATCATCATTAACAATACAGTTTATTCACTTACCATATCGGGCACGTTTGATGGCCATAGTTGGTGATGGAGGGAGGAGCTGGTCATTTATTCCTGTAGACACCATGAACAAAAATACTGGAAATTAAAATCACACTAAATGGTAATCTTGCCTGGATTCTTGACTTCTTAATTGCGTACAACCTGAACTGAAATGGTGCAGCAGTGGCCTCTAGCTGTACATTTATTTTAATGAGAAAACATTTTTGACAAATAGTCCTTACAACATGTTTAGTTTCTATCTTTCATACTTCTACAAATTACCCCATTTTGTGCCTTACATTTTTTTTAAGGGTATAAGTTGCCTTTAGTTATAATCAGGAGCCCAAAGAAACTTCTGACTGGCTACCCCTAAATATTGTTATTATTCTTAATAAGTTTCATGTAGTCTTGTGAAGAATGTAATACAAGCAAGTAAAAGCAGTGTCGCATTCGCAAAATCACCCAAGCTCTTAAAATGCTTGGAATTTAATAAATATAAATTTTGTATGAACTGTTTTGATCTGTTCATTATTAGGAAATATGTCACGCTACATATCCATCTATAAATATGTATTTAGATAAGTTGCAATCATCATTAACAATACAGTTTATTCACTTACCATTTTGGGCACGTTTGCTGGCCATAGTTGGTGATGGAGGGAGGAGCTGGTCATTTATTCCTGTAGACACCATGATGAACAAAAATACTGGAAATTAAAATCACACTAAATGGTAATCTTGCCTGGATTCTTGACTTCTTAATTGCGTACAACCTGAACTGAAATGGTGCAGCAGTGGCCTCTAGCTGTACATTTATTTTAATGAGAAAACATTTTTGACAAATAGTCCTTACAACATGTTTAGTTTCTATCTTTCATACTTCTACAAATTACCCCATTTTGTGCCTTACATTTTTTTTAAGGGTATAAGTTGCCTTTAGTTATAATCAGGAGCCCAAAGAAACTTCTGACTGGCTACCCCTAAATATTGTTATTATTCTTAGTAAGTTTCCTGTAGTCTTGTGAAGAATGTAATACAAGCAAGTAAAAGCAGTGTCGCATTCGCAAAATCACCCAAGCTCTTAAAATGCTTGGAATTTAATAAATATTAATTTTGTATGAACTGTTTTGATCTGTTCATTATTAGGAAATATGTCACGCTACATATCCATCTATAAATATGTATTTAGATAAGTTGCAATCATCATTAACAATACAGTTTATTCACTTACCATTTTGGGCACGTTTGCTGGCCATAGTTGGTGATGGATGGAGGAGCTGGTAATTTTTTACTGTAGACACCATGATGAACAAAAATACTGGAAATTAAAATCACACTAAATGGTAATCTTGCCTGGATTTTTGACTTCTTAATTGCGTACAACCTGAACTGAAATGGTGCAGCAGTGGCCTCTAGCTGTACATTTATTTTAATGAGAAAACATTTTTGACAAATAGTCCTTACAACATGTTTAGTTTCTATCTTTCATACTTCTACAAATTACCCCATTTTGTGCCTTACATTTTTTTTAAGGGTATAAGTTGCCTTTAGTTATAATCAGGAGCCCAAAGAAACTTCTGACTGGCTACCCCTAAATATTGTTAGTTGCAATCATCATTAACAATACAGTTTATTCACTTACCATTTTGGGCACGTTTGCTGGCCATAGTTGGTGATGGATGGAGGAGCTGGTAATTTTTTACTGTAGACACCATGATGAACAAAAATACTGGAAATTAAAATCACACTAAATGGTAATCTTGCCTGGATTTTTGACTTCTTAATTGCGTACAACCTGAACTGAAATGGTGCAGCAGTGGCCTCTAGCTGTACATTTATTTTAATGAGAAAACATTTTTGACAAATAGTCCTTACAACATGTTTAGTTTCTATCTTTCATACTTCTACAAATTACCCCATTTTGTGCCTTACATTTTTTTTAAGGGTATAAGTTGCCTTTAGTTATAATCAGGAGCCCAAAGAAACTTCTGACTGGCTACCCCTAAATATTGTTATTATTCTTAGTAAGTTTCCTGTAGTCTTGTGAAGAATGTAATACAAGCAAGTAAAAGCAGTGTCACATTCGCAAAATCACTCAAGCTCTTAAAATGCTTGGAATTTAATAAATATTAATTTTGTATGAACTGTTTTGATCTGTTCATTATTAGGAAATATGTCACGCTACATATCCATCTATAAATATGTATTTAGATAAGTTGCAATCATCATTAACAATACAGTTTATTCACTTACCATTTTGGGCACGTTTGCTGGCCATAGTTGGTGATGGATGGAGGAGCTGGTAATTTTTTACTGTAGACACCATGATGAACAAAAATACTGGAAATTAAAATCACACTAAATGGTAATCTTGCCTGGATTTTTGACTTCTTAATTGCGTACAACCTGAACTGAAATGGTGCAGCAGTGGCCTCTAGCTGTACATTTATTTTAATGAGAAAACATTTTTGACAAATAGTCCTTACAACATGTTTAGTTTCTATCTTTCATACTTCTACAAATTACCCCCATTTTGTGCCTTACATTTTTTTTAAGGGTATAAGTTGCCTTTAGTTATAATCAGGAGCCCAAAGAAACTTCTGACTGGCTACCCCTAAATATTGTTATTGTTCTTAGTAAGTTTCCTGTAGTCTTGTGAAGAATGTAATACAAGCAAGTAAAAGCAGTGTCGCATTTGCAAAATCACCCAAGCTCTTAAAATGCTTGGAATTTAATAAATATTAATTTTGTATGAACTGTTTTGATCTGTTCATTATTAGGAAATATGTCACGCTACATATCCATCTATAAATATGTATTTAGATAAGTTGCAATCATTATTAACAATACAGTTTATTCTCTTACCATTTTGGGCACGTTTGCTGGCCATAGTTGGTGATGGAGGGAGGAGCTGGTCATTTTTTACTGTAGACACCATGATGAACAAAAATACTGGAAATTAAAATCACACTAAATGGTAATCTTGCCTGGATGTTTGACTTCTTAATTGCGTACAACCTGAACTGAAATGGTGCAGCAGTGGCCTCTAGCTGTACATTTATTTTAATGAGAAAACATTTTTGACAAATAGTCCTTACAACATGTTTAGTTTCTATCTTTCATACTTCTACAAATTACCCCATTTTGTGCCTTACATTTTTTTTAAGGGTATAAGTTGCCTTTAGTTATAATCAGGAGCCCAAAGAAACTTCTGACTGGCTACCCCTAAATATTGTTATTATTCTTAGTAAGTTTCCTGTAGTCTTGTGAAGAATGTAATACAAGCAAGTAAAAGCAGTGTCGCATTTGCAAAATCACCCAAGCTCTTAAATTGCTTGGAATTTAATAAATATTAATTTTGTATGAACTGTTTTGATCTGTTCATTATTAGGAAATATGTCACGCTACATATCCATCTATAAATATGTATTTAGATAAGTTGCAATCATTATTAACAATACAGTTTATTCTCTTACCATTTTGGGCACGTTTGCTGGCCATAGTTGGTAATGGATGGAGGAGCTGGTCATTTTTTACTGTAGACACCATGATGAACAAAAATACTGGAAATTAAAATCACACTAAATGGTAATCTTGCCTGGATTTTTGACTTCTTAATTGCGTACAACCTGAACTGAAATGGTGCAGCAGTGGCCTCTAGCTGTACATTTATTTTAATGAGAAAACATTTTGACAAATAGTCCTTACAACATGTTTAGTTTCTATCTTTCATACTTCTACAAATTACCCCATTTTGTGCCTTACATTTTTTTAAGGGTATAAGTTGCCTTTAGTTATAATCAGGAGCCCAAAGAAACTTCTGACTGGCTACCCCTAAATATTGTTATTATTCTTAGTAAGTTTCCTGTAGTCTTGTGAAGAATGTAATACAAGCAAGTAAAAGCAGTGTCACATTCGCAAAATCACCCAAGCTCTTAAAATGCTTGGAATTTAATAAATATTAATTTTGTATGAACTGTTTTGATCTGTTCATTATTAGGAAATATGTCACGCTACACATCCATCTATAAATATGTATTTAGATAAGTTGCAATCATTATTAACAATACAGTTTATTCTCTTACCATTTTGGGCACGTTTGCTGGCCATAGTTGGTGATGGATGGAGGAGCTGGTCTTTTTTTACTGTAGACACCATGATGAACAAAAATACTGGAAATTAAAATCACACTAAATGGTAATCTTGCCTGGATTTTTTGACTTCTTAATTGCGTACAACCTGAACTGAAATGGTGCAGCAGTGGCCTCTAGCTGTACATTTATTTTAATGAGAAAACATTTTTGACAAATAGTCCTTACAACATGTTTAGTTTCTATCTTTCATACTTCTACAAATTACCCCATTTTGTGCCTTACATTTTTTTTAAGGGTATAAGTTGCCTTTAGTTATAATCAGGAGCCCAAAGAAACTTCTGACTGGCTACCCCTAAATATTGTTATTATTCTTAGTAAGTTTCCTGTAGTCTTGTGAAGAATGTAATACAAGCAAGTAAAAGCAGTGTCACATTCGCAAAATCACCCAAGCTCTTAAAATGCTTGGAATTTAATAAATATTAATTTTGTATGAACTGTTTTGATCTGTTCATTATTAGGAAATATGTCACGCTACATATCCATCTATAAATATGTATTTAGATAAGTTGCAATCATCATTAACAATACAGTTTATTCACTTACCATTTTGGGCACGTTTGCTGGCCATAGTTGGTGATGGATGGAGGAGCTGGTCATTTTTTACTGTAGACACCATGATGAACAAAAATACTGGAAATTAAAATCACACTAAATGGTAATCTTGCCTGGATTTTTGACTTCTTAATTGCGTACAACCTGAACTGAAATGGTGCAGCAGTGGCCTCTAGCTGTACATTTATTTTAATGAGAAAACATTTTTGACAAATAGTCCTTACAACATGTTTAGTTTCTATCTTTCATACTTCTACAAATTACCCCATTTTGTGCCTTACATTTTTTTTAAGGGTATAAGTTGCCTTTAGTTATAATCAGGAGCCCAAAGAAACTTCTGACTGGCTACCCCTAAATATTGTTATTATTCTTAGTAAGTTTCCTGTAGTCTTGTGAAGAATGTAATACAAGCAAGTAAAAGCAGTGTCGCATTCGCAAAATCACCCAAGCTCTTAAAATGCTTGGAATTTAATAAATATTAATTTTGTATGAACTGTTTTGATCTGTTCATTATTAGGAAATATGTCACGCTACATATCCATCTATAAATATGTATTTAGATAAGTTGCAATCATCATTAACAATACAGTTTATTCACTTACCATTTTGGGCACGTTTGCTGGCCATAGTTGGTGATGGATGGAGGAGCTGGTAATTTTTTACTGTAGACACCATGATGAACAAAAATACTGGAAATTAAAATCACACTAAATGGTAATCTTGCCTGGATTTTTGACTTCTTAATTGCGTACAACCTGAACTGAAATGGTGCAGCAGTGGCCTCTAGCTGTACATTTATTTTAATGAGAAAACATTTTTGACAAATAGTCCTTACAACATGTTTAGTTTCTATCTTTCATACTTCTACAAATTACCCCATTTTGTGCCTTACATTTTTTTTAAGGGTATAAGTTGCCTTTAGTTATAATCAGGAGCCCAAAGAAACTTCTGACTGGCTACCCCTAAATATTGTTATTGTTCTTAGTAAGTTTCCTGTAGTCTTGTGAAGAATGTAATACAAGCAAGTAAAAGCAGTGTCGCATTTGCAAAATCACCCAAGCTCTTAAAATGCTTGGAATTTAATAAATATTAATTTTGTATGAACTGTTTTGATCTGTTCATTATTAGGAAATATGTCACGCTACATATCCATCTATAAATATGTATTTAGATAAGTTGCAATCATTATTAACAATACAGTTTATTCTCTTACCATTTTGGGCACGTTTGCTGGCCATAGTTGGTGATGGAGGGAGGAGCTGGTCATTTTTTACTGTAGACACCATGATGAACAAAAATACTGGAAATTAAAATCACACTAAATGGTAATCTTGCCTGGATGTTTGACTTCTTAATTGCGTACAACCTGAACTGAAATGGTGCAGCAGTGGCCTCTAGCTGTACATTTATTTTAATGAGAAAACATTTTTGACAAATAGTCCTTACAACATGTTTAGTTTCTATCTTTCATACTTCTACAAATTACCCCATTTTGTGCCTTACATTTTTTTTAAGGGTATAAGTTGCCTTTAGTTATAATCAGGAGCCCAAAGAAACTTCTGACTGGCTACCCCTAAATATTGTTATTATTCTTAGTAAGTTTCCTGTAGTCTTGTGAAGAATGTAATACAAGCAAGTAAAAGCAGTGTCGCATTTGCAAAATCACCCAAGCTCTTAAATTGCTTGGAATTTAATAAATATTAATTTTGTATGAACTGTTTTGATCTGTTCATTATTAGGAAATATGTCACGCTACATATCCATCTATAAATATGTATTTAGATAAGTTGCAATCATTATTAACAATACAGTTTATTCTCTTACCATTTTGGGCACGTTTGCTGGCCATAGTTGGTAATGGATGGAGGAGCTGGTCATTTTTTACTGTAGACACCATGATGAACAAAAATACTGGAAATTAAAATCACACTAAATGGTAATCTTGCCTGGATTTTTGACTTCTTAATTGCGTACAACCTGAACTGAAATGGTGCAGCAGTGGCCTCTAGCTGTACATTTATTTTAATGAGAAAACATTTTTGACAAATAGTCCTTACAACATGTTTAGTTTCTATCTTTCATACTTCTACAAATTACCCCCATTTTGTGCCTTACATTTTTTTTAAGGGTATAAGTTGCCTTTAGTTATAATCAGGAGCCCAAAGAAACTTCTGACTGGCTACCCCTAAATATTGTTATTATTCTTAGTAAGTTTCCTGTAGTCTTGTGAAGAATGTAATACAAGCAAGTAAAAGCAGTGTCACATTCGCAAAATCACCCAAGCTCTTAAAATGCTTGGAATTTAATAAATATTAATTTTGTATGAACTGTTTTGATCTGTTCATTATTAGGAAATATGTCACGCTACACATCCATCTATAAATATGTATTTAGATAAGTTGCAATCATTATTAACAATACAGTTTATTCTCTTACCATTTTGGGCACGTTTGCTGGCCATAGTTGGTGATGGATGGAGGAGCTGGTCTTTTTTTACTGTAGACACCATGATGAACAAAAATACTGGAAATTAAAATCACACTAAATGGTAATCTTGCCTGGATTTTTTGACTTCTTAATTGCGTACAACCTGAACTGAAATGGTGCAGCAGTGGCCTCTAGCTGTACATTTATTTTAATGAGAAAACATTTTTGACAAATAGTCCTTACAACATGTTTAGTTTCTATCTTTCATACTTCTACAAATTACCCCATTTTGTGCCTTACATTTTTTTTAAGGGTATAAGTTGCCTTTAGTTATAATCAGGAGCCCAAAGAAACTTCTGACTGGCTACCCCTAAATATTGTTATTATTCTTAGTAAGTTTCCTGTAGTCTTGTGAAGAATGTAATACAAGCAAGTAAAAGCAGTGTCACATTCGCAAAATCACCCAAGCTCTTAAAATGCTTGGAATTTAATAAATATTAATTTTGTATGAACTGTTTTGATCTGTTCATTATTAGGAAATATGTCACGCTACATATCCATCTATAAATATGTATTTAGATAAGTTGCAATCATCATTAACAATACAGTTTATTCACTTACCATTTTGGGCACGTTTGCTGGCCATAGTTGGTGATGGATGGAGGAGCTGGTCATTTTTTACTGTAGACACCATGATGAACAAAAATACTGGAAATTAAAATCACACTAAATGGTAATCTTGCCTGGATTTTTGACTTCTTAATTGCGTACAACCTGAACTGAAATGGTGCAGCAGTGGCCTCTAGCTGTACATTTATTTTAATGAGAAAACATTTTTGACAAATAGTCCTTACAACATGTTTAGTTTCTATCTTTCATACTTCTACAAATTACCCCATTTTGTGCCTTACATTTTTTTTAAGGGTATAAGGTGCCTTTAGTTATAATCAGGAGCCCAAAGAAACTTCTGACTGGCTACCCCTAAATATTGTTATTATTCTTAGTAAGTTTCCTGTAGTCTTGTGAAGAATGTAATACAAGCAAGTAAAAGCAGTGTCGCATTCGCAAAATCACCCAAGCTCTTAAAATGCTTGGAATTTAATAAATATTAATGTTGTATGAACTGTTTTGATCTGTTCATTATTAGGAAATATGTCACGCTACATATCCATCTATAAATATGTATTTAGATAAGTTGCAATCATCATTAACAATACAGTTTATTCACTTACCATTTTGGGCACGTTTGCTGGCCATAGTTGGTGATGCATGGAGGAGCTGGTCATTTTTTACTGTAGACACCATGATGAACAAAAATACTGGAAATTAAAATCACACTAAATGGTAATCTTGCCTGGATTTTTGACTTCTAAATTGCGTACAACCTGAACTGAAATGGTGCAGCAGTGGTCTCTAGCTGTACATTTATTTAAATGAGAAAACATTTTTGACAAATAGTCCTTACAACATGTTTAGTTTCTATCTTTCATACTTCTACAAATTACCCCATTTTGTGCCTTACATTTTTTTTAAGGGTATAAGTTGCCTTTAGTTATAATCAGGAGCCCAAAGAAACTTCTGACTGGCTACCCCTAAATATTGTTATTATTCTTAGTAAGTTTCCTGTAGTCTTGTGAAGAATGTAATACAAGCAAGTAAAAGCAGTGTCGCATTCGCAAAATCACCCAAGCTCTTAAAATGCTTGGAATTTAATAAATATTAATTTTGTATGAACTGTTTTGATCTGTTCATTATTAGGAAATATGTCACGCTACATATCCATCTATAAATATGTATTTAGATAAGTTGCAATCATCATTAACAATACAGTTTATTCACTTACCATTTTGGGCACGTTTGCTGGCCATAGTTGGTAATGGATGGAGGAGCTGGTAATTTTTTACTGTAGACACCATGATGAACAAAAATACTGGAAATTAAAATCACACTAAATGGTAATCTTGCCTGGATTTTTTGACTTCTTAATTGCGTACAACCTGAACTGAAATGGTGCAGCAGTGGCCTCTAGCTGTACATTTATTTTAATGAGAAAACATTTTTGACAAATAGTCCTTACAACATGTTTAGTTTCTATCTTTCATACTTCTACAAATTACCCCATTTTGTGCCTTACATTTTTTTTAAGGGTATAAGGTGCCTTTAGTTATAATCAGGAGCCCAAAGAAACTTCTGACTGGCTACCCCTAAATATTGTTATTATTCTTAGTAAGTTTCCTGTAGTCTTGTGAAGAATGTAATACAAGCAAGTAAAAGCAGTGTCGCATTCGCAAAATCACCCAAGCTCTTAAAATGCTTGGAATTTAATAAATATTAATTTTGTATGAACTGTTTTGATCTGTTCATTATTAGGAAATATGTCACGCTACATATCCATCTATAAATATGTATTTAGATAAGTTGCAATCATCATTAACAATACAGTTTATTCACTTACCATTTTGGGCACGTTTGCTGGCCATAGTTGGTGATGGATGGAGGAGCTGGTAATTTTTTACTGTAGACACCATGATGAACAAAATACTGGAAATTAAAATCACACTAAATGGTAATCTTGCCTGGATTTTTGACTTCTTAATTGCGTACAACCTGAACTGAAATGGTGCAGCAGTGGCCTCTAGCTGTACATTTATTTTAATGAGAAAACATTTTTGACAAATAGTCCTTACAACATGTTTAGTTTCTATCTTTCATACTTCTACAAATTACCCCATTTTGTGCCTTACATTTTTTTTAAGGGTATAAGTTGCCTTTAGTTATAATCAGGAGCCCAAAGAAACTTCTGACTGGCTACCCCTAAATATTGTTATTATTCTTAGTAAGTTTCCTGTAGTCTTGTGAAGAATGTAATACAAGCAAGTAAAAGCAGTGTCACATTCGCAAAATCACTCAAGCTCTTAAAATGCTTGGAATTTAATAAATATTAATTTTGTATGAACTGTTTTGATCTGTTCATTATTAGGAAATATGTCACGCTACATATCCATCTATAAATATGTATTTAGATAAGTTGCAATCATCATTAACAATACAGTTTATTCACTTACCATTTTGGGCACGTTTGCTGGCCATAGTTGGTGATGGATGGAGGAGCTGGTCATTTTTTACTGTAGACACCATGATGAACAAAAATACTGGAAATTAAAATCACACTAAATGGTAATCTTGCCTGGATTTTTGACTTCTTAATTGCGTACAACCTGAACTGAAATGGTGCAGCAGTGGCCTCTAGCTGTACATTTATTTTAATGAGAAAACATTTTTGACAAATAGTCCTCACAACATGTTTAGTTTCTATCTTTCATACTTCTACAAATTACCCCATTTCGTGCCTTACATTTTTTTTAAGGGTATAAGTTGCCTTTAGTTATAATCAGGAGCCCAAAGAAACTTCTGACTGGCTACCCCTAAATATTGTTATTATTCTTAGTAAGTTTCCTGTAGTCTTGTGAAGAATGTAATACAAGCAAGTAAAAGCAGTGTCGCATTCGCAAAATCACCCAAGCTCTTAAAATGCTTGGAATTTAATAAATATTAATTTTGTATGAACTGTTTTGATCTGTTCATTATTAGGAAATATGTCACGCTACATATCCATCTATAAATATGTATTTAGATAAGTTGCAATCATCATTAACAACACAGTTTATTCACTTACCATTTTGGGCACGTTTGCTGGCCATAGTTGGTGATGGATGGAGGAGCTGGTCATTTTTTACTGTAGACACCATGATGAACAAAAATACTGGAAATTAAAATCACACTAAATGGTAATCTTGCCTGGATTTTTGACTTCTTAATTGCGTACAACCTGAACTGAAATGGTGCAGCAGTGGCCTCTAGCTGTACATTTATTTAAATGAGAAAACATTTTTGACAAATAGTCCTTACAACATGTTTAGTTTCTATCTTTCATACTTCTACAAATTACCCCATTTTGTGCCTTACATTTTTTTTAAGGGTATAAGTTGCCTTTAGTTATAATCAGGAGCCCAAAGAAACTTCTGACTGGCTACCCCTAAATATTGTTATTATTCTTAGTAAGTTTCCTGTAGTCTTGTGAAGAATGTAATACAAGCAAGTAAAAGCAGTGTCGCATTCGCAAAATCACCCAAGCTCTTAAAATGCTTGGAATTTAATAAATATTAATTTTGTATGAACTGTTTTGATCTGTTCATTATTAGGAAATATGTCACGCTACATATCCATCTATAAATATGTATTTAGATAAGTTGCAATCATCATTAACAATACAGTTTATTCACTTACCATTTTGGGCACGTTTGCTGGCCATAGTTGGTGATGGATGGAGGAGCTGGTAATTTTTTACTGTAGACACCATGATGAACAAAAATACTGGAAATTAAAATCACACTAAATGGTAATCTTGCCTGGATTTTTGACTTCTTAATTGCGTTCAACCTGAACTGAAATGGTGCAGCAGTGGCCTCTAGCTGTACATTTATTTTAATGAGAAAACATTTTTGACAAATAGTCCTTACAAACATGTTTAGTTTCTATCTTTCATACTTCTACAAATTACCCCATTTTGTGCCTTACATTTTTTTTAAGGGTATAAGTTGCCTTTAGTTATAATCAGGAGCCCAAAGAAACTTCTGACTGGCTACCCCTAAATATTGTTATTATTCTTAGTAAGTTTCCTGTAGTCTTGTGAAGAATGTAATACAAGCAAGTAAAAGCAGTGTCACATTCGCAAAATCACTCAAGCTCTTAAAATGCTTGGAATTTAATAAATATTAATTTTGTATGAACTGTTTTGATCTGTTCATTATTAGGAAATATGTCACGCTACATATCCATCTATAAATATGTATTTAGATAAGTTGCAATCATCATTAACAATACAGTTTATTCACTTACCATTTTGGGCACGTTTGCTGGCCATAGTTGGTGATGGATGGAGGAGCTGGTCTGCTGCTGAGTTGAGGAAGGGAAGTTAGTCTACAGCAACACCTCCTTAAATGCAGACTTCATGCAGCAAACCACACCCACACACACTGCTGACATCAAAGTCTGAAGTTCAGCTACAGTGGGATGATTCTTAGTTTAAAAGTATAAAATCCTTCTCTTAATAAATAAGAACAAGGGGAAATATAGCCTTGTGTGTTTATTTTAATTGAACAGACTACATATTTTAGATATATAAATCCTCAATGCTCTTTACATATCAACATTCACCCATTCACACACATTCATACAGAGGCAGAGGCTGCCATGCAAGGTGCTCAGGGAGACTAACATTCACACACACTCACACACGTTGTCCAAACCAATTTGTGGTTAAGTAGGTATCTTGCCCAAGATCACATGGACATGTTATTTACAGTTTGACTGCACCTTCAGCAGTCTGCAGCTCTCAAAGCGTTTTAAAAGAAACATGGACAGTTGGCTACAGCCTTTTGCATAATAGTGATTTAATCTAATCTGGCTTCATATTATTAAAAGAAACATGAGCATCAACCCGACGCAGTCCGCCATTGTTGTGGTTGTGAGTGGCTGGGAACACAACTGGGACTAAAAAGGAGAACCAGTTCAGAACCAGAAAAGCATGGAGCTAGGTTTGGTGGAAAGGGGCATGGATGTGTTTAAACTGCCATTTATTTCCCCGCTAGGTTTTCACATTCATGTGATATGATTTTATTCAACCTCTTATTCAGGGACTGAATGATTGATACCCTTACATTTCCCATTATAATGTATTTTCCTTTCACTTTTAGATGACTGCCCTCAGTAAACCCTGCTCCCCTCTCCCTTCAGCATTTACAAGAAATGCTCTCTGTTCTTCTAAATGCCACACACACATGCAGACTGTGATCAACACTTTGAACTGTTGCTCTCCGAAACCGGCTCGAGATACACTTTTTGTTATATTCCATGGAATGCTCTTAACATCCCGATAGCAATGAATATCTTAAGTGCTCTGACAAAAAATCCATACAAAAATGTCATCTGTGGAAGCCGTAGTACTGTAAAAAGCACGACCAATCATTTTAGCCGGCCCAGCTAAAATAACTGGATGGCCTACCTGCCTGTCAGCCTTCCATCTGTGCACAAACTTATCTCGTGCCCTCATTGGTCATGTGCACGTTCGTGTGTGTTGGAGGAGGGGCTCTATAAGGAAGTGGCAGATTTTCTCCGGTCGTGTATTTTCAAATTCTAGCGATCTCGAGTCGGTTTCTCAAATTGACATACCCTACCTTTAAACTCATACTGTTGAATCCTCATATAAACTTAAACTCAAAGTGGTTTTGCTTGTATTGAAGATTGTAGTGTACGGTGCAAGGGATTCATTTTAAGTTCTGATTCCCAGAATGGTGTTTCAAGTGGAGCTCTTCCCAGCTTCAGTCTTCCCCTCCATCACAATCCTGAGCACCTCATCATTGTATTTGATATCAGAAATGTCAATGCACAAATGGGATTTATTTTCAGACACTGACACGCAGTCCAGATGAATGCAATTTTAGATGCTACTTTTATTGACAATTTATAGTTTGACTCTAGCTCCTTCAGCAGCTGTTGTGTGGGACTGATCCACACTGTTACAGCAGCCTGAACTTTGTCAAAGTGTTTTCAAAAGAAACATTGATTGGCTGATTCAGGATATAGCATAATAATTAAACTGACCATCTTCATTATTTTACTGCCATTTCTTTCCCAGCTAGGTTTTCATGTTCATGTGATATGATTTATATTCAACCTCTTATTCAGGGACTCAAATGATTGACACCCTTACATTACCCATTAGAATGTATTTTCCTTTCACTTTTAGATAACTGCCCTCAGTAAACCCTGCTCCCCCCTCCCTTCAGCATTTACTAGAAATGCCTTCTGTTCTTCTAAATGCCAAAAAAACCTGTAGACTGTAGTCAACACTTTGAGCTCTCAGTCTCTGTTCATGACAGGATGTGGCAGTTAACATGCTCCAAATGGCCCAAAACGTAACATGTTTGATAATGATGCAGCCCTCAACACATCTAGACGTATTATGAATTTAAATGTCTCTAAAACCCAGGAATTGATCATTGACTTTAGACGTCACAAGGATGTTCCTAAGGAGTGCATCACAGGGTTGGGAGGGTTACTTTGTAAATGTAATTAGTTACTGAATACTGAATACATGGCTCTGAAAGTAATCCAAATACAGTTACAGTTACGTGTCTTAAAAACGTATTCAGATTACTTTTAGAATACTTTCTTTTTCCATAACAGATGGGTATGTTTTGGTGAACAGGAGACACGTATTTTACTGTTTTAATGGCTTATCAAGAGCACAACTCAAACACGACATCTTGGCGTCATTCTGGACAGCTCCCTCTCATCTGCGCCCACATAAAAAACATCTCACGGACTGCATTCTTTGTACTGTCTTAAACCTTTCCTTAGAATATGTTATGAATTGTAAGGTGTCCTTGGGTGCTTTGAAAGGCGCCCCTAAATAGAATGAATTATCATTATTATTCATTATTATTATTATTATTATTATTATTATTATTATTATCTGAAACGATGTAATAACTTTTAAAACGTTTTCCAGTCACTTGCCCCATGCATTCAGCAGCAGCATTCACTTTGATTTTATCCCGTTATGAAATGTCATCATTTCAACACTAAAGAAAAGCTACATAAACGTTTTCTTGCACATTTTATCGAACCATCTCCGTTTCTAACTTTCAATATATTTAAAAAGAGATCTCTCTCTCTCATCTGCGTGCCGGGTCGGGGCCTCAAAGACACACTGGCTACATCTCTCTCTCGCTCACAGACATGCTGCAGCGCTGTGCACACAGTTCTGCCGGTAATGAATATTACATTTTGTGAGGAAACTTTTCCACCAATAATTCCAATAAGTATTCCAAAATGTATTCACTTCAGGTTTACGAAAGTCACTGTAATCAGATTACTCGTTTTTCAAATGTAACGCGAGCTGAATACAGTTACTTGTATTCTGATTACGTAACGCAGTTACATGTATTCCGTTACAACCCAACCCTGATCATACACAATGACAAGGTTGACATTTTCACATCATATAAATACTTGGGCACCATTTTCTATGACCACCTCAAATTTGATGTGAATACTGAGTGAAGCGGGGTTGTTGTGGAGATTCAGCACTCACAACAGGAAAGAATGAAACAGAGAGGAATCAATAAAACACAAACACAGAAATAGTTGAGATTAATCATTATTATTTAGTTGTTGCAACAAACAAACAACAATGGGGAAACATTGTTGTTTGTCTCTAATAGAGGTGTCATACATAATAACCTAATAAAAGTAAATGTAACAACTACTACAGTGCAACAAAACAGGAAGATTAAATGTGGTCTCTTAAACATAAGATCTCTAGCATCTAAAGCAATGTTGGTAAATGATTTAATATCAGATTATAATATTGATATATGCTGTCTCACTGAAACTTGGTTGAGACATGAAGAATATGTCAGCATAAATGAGGCCACTCCACCCAGCCATACCAATACTCATATTGCTCGAGGCACAGGCCGATTGATCATGTTGTTGATAGTGCTACAGATGCGCTGCGAATACAATTAGACTCTGTTGCTCCTATAAAAAAGAAGAAAATAAAACAACATAGATTAGCTCCATGGCATAATGCCGAAACCCGCAAAATAAAGCAAAAGTCGAGACAACTTGAAAGGATATGGCGTTCCACTAAACTTGAAGAATCTCGTTTAATTTGGCATATTACTCTCAATGAATATAAGAGAGCACTGCGTAAAGCGAGAGCAGCTTACTACTCTTCATTAATAGATGAGAATAAGAATAATGCAATATTTCTTTTCAGCACTGTAGCCAGGCTGACAGAGAGCCACAGCTCTATTGAGCCTTCTATTCCCATAGCACTCAGTAGTAATGATTTTATGTGCTTTTTTAACGATAAAATTGTTACTCTTAGAAACAAAATGAATGACCTCTTGCCTTTGACCAGTATAGTGTTATCAACAGCTCCCGGAAACGTAAGTTCTAATATTACACTAGATAGTAAATTAGAATGCTTTTCAGCCATAAACCTTGAACAATTAAATTCAATGATTCTCTCTTCTAAACCATCAACGTGTATCTTAGACCCGATTCCAACTAAGCTGTTAAAGGACGTTTTTCCATTAGTTAGCACTTCTTTATTAAATATTATGAATATGTCTTTATTATCAGGCTATGTTCCACAATCATTCAAAGTAGCAGTGATAAAACCGCTTCTTAAAAAACACAACCTCGATCCAGAGGTTTTAGCCAACTATAGACCTATTTCTAATCTTCCGTTCCCCTCACAAATTCTTGAGAAAGCAGTCGCAAAACAGTTGTGTGATTATTTAAAAAACAATGATTTATTTGAAGATTTTCAGTCTGGCTTTAGAACACATCATAGCACAGAGACAGCTCTGGTTAAAGTCACAAATGACCTTCTAATAGCCTCAGACAAAGGACTTGTCTCTATTCTTGTTTTGCTCGATCTCAGTGCTGCATTTGATACTATCGACCATGACATCTTATTTCAAAGACTAGAGCACTTAGTTGGCATACAGGGAACTGCTTTAGGCTGGTTTAGGTCCTATCTATCTGAACGCTCTCAGTTTGTATGTGTCAACGATGAATTTTCCATGCAGACCAAAGTTAGCCATGGAGTGCCACAGGGCTCAGTGCTTGGACCTATTTTGTTCACATTATATATGCTTCCGTTAGGCAATATTATAAGGAATCATTCTGTACATTTTCATTGTTATGCGGATGATACTCAACTATATTTATCAATCAAGCCTGATGAAATTAATCATCTAAATAAAATTCAAGACTTCCTCAAGGACTTAAAAACGTGGATTACCTTACATTTTGATGTTAAACACGGCCAAAACTGAAGTTATTGTACTCGGCCCAAAGAATCTACGAAACAAATTATCTAAAGATAGACTAACTATGGATGGCATTCATTTGGCCTCCAGTGAGACTGTAAGGAATCTTGGTGTAATATTTGATCAGGATTTATCTTTTAACGCCCACATAAAATCAATTTCAAGGACCGCCTACTTCCATCTACGTAACATTGCAAAAATCAGGCATATCTTGCCTCAAAACGATGGAGAAACTAGTCCATGCATTTGTTACTTCAAGGCTGGATTATTGTAACTCTTTATTATCAGGGTGTACCAAGAAGTCAGTTAAGTCGCTTCAGCTGATTCAAAATGCTGCAGCGCGTGTACTAACCAGAGTTCGGAAAAGGGACCACATTACTCCTGTTCTGGCTGCCTTACACTGGCTCCCTATAGAACACAGGATAGAATTTAAAATTCTTCTTCTCGCCTACAAAGCCCTTAATGGGCAGGCGCCATCTTACCTTAAATAACTCATTATACCCTACTGTCCTACTAGGGCATTGCGTTCCAAGAATGCAGGGTTGTTGGTTGTTCCTAGAGTCTCTAAAAGTACAATGGGAGCCAGACAGGGCTGGACTGGCCATCTGGCATACCGGGCATTTTCCCGGTGGGCCGACGTGCCTTTTGGGCCGACACGTCATTTTTTTTTTTTCTGAAGTCCCGGCCCATAAGACGGGTAGATTCGCCCTCTGTTTAAATGTTTTTAGTAATTGACACTGGGCCGGGCCAATAAAATCTTTAATCACCTCCCCCTTTGGGCCGCTCGGTGTGCATGATTAAATCACGCCCCCAGGAGGTGAGCCGGCCGTTGAAGCCAAACTGCCTTTTTTTTCGAAAAAAAAAAAAAGTTCGAGTTAGAAATGGAGAAGGCGAAGGCGAAGACGAAGGCCAAGCGAAAAGGGGGAGCAGAAAAATTGCGGGCAAGAAAAAAGCAGGCCCTTCGTGCTGATGCTGCCGCTTGTGTCAAAATAACCGACATGTTTAGTACAGGTGCAGGTCCATCTTCAGCACCCGTGGCCGATATTGGTGGTGAGGAAGATGATGAGAGGGAGAGAGATCAGCGCGAGTGGGGAGAGGGAGGAGAATTCGCGGTAAGCAGAAGCTAAGAAAATTAGGAAAAGATTATTATTAAGGTTATGATACTCTGTAGTTCTTGAACCCATTAATATCCCCTTGATGAAGCACTAATAAGACAAATATTATAAGAGAAACATTCGTTAGCCTACAAGCTAGTAAGCTGTCTTTTTTAGGTTTTCCCTGGCAAGTTAAAATATAGCTTAATGGGACTCTGATACGTTGTCTCATTGAAAGAATGTCATTATTTTGTTAACCATCATTCATGAACAATTACTGTCAGCTGGCAGCTTGTTTTGTTTAGTTTATTTACTTATTTGGTTATAAGGGCAACAGTGGTCTTTTGGGACCTGAAACATTTTTTTATAGTCAGCTTTTTGTGGTAGTTTTTCACAGAACCACGCCGCTCCCAAATACTGCACTCAAAGACCTCAGTAATTGTCTTATCAGATTTGACAGCAGGGCTACAGTGGAGAATCTACAGTCAGAGCTGATAGGTTTAGCTGGACAGTGGGACAGGCTTAAAGCATCACATGTGGAAGAATATAAGACCAGAACGGTGGAAGATGGATCAGAAGGAAAGGAAGAGGAGACTGAAATTGTGCATAAAAGCTGCTCCTCCTGCAAAAATTGCCCACTGTGCTGCTATGAGATACTCAGGCGGTTCAACATGTTGTCAGATGCTTATCATGTCCTTGGGCTTGCATATAAGTTCCTGCTGACCCTTTCCCTAACTCAGGTGGCCTGTGAAAGAACATTTTCAACGCTCAAGTTCATAAAGAGCCGACTCAGAAGCAGTCTGTCAGAGAACAAGCTGGAGACTTTTTTATTGATGGCCACTGAGAAAGACATCCTCATGGCATTGGACTCCGACGTGGTCATTGATAGGGTTGCTGAGAAGAGTGACTTATTGAGAAAGATGATTTTGTAGCTTAATAAGGTGAGATTAAGTAAATAAAATGATTCAGAAAATTCTCATTGTAATTAGCCAGCTCTGTTTTCTTAAATCCTGAACTTCACCCTCTCTTTGACAGGATGCCATCACTTGCCTTTTAAAGGATTCATCCAAAGAGGTCACCTGCATCCTTTTTGACTCTCCCAAAGCCCCCCAACTATACACACACACACACACACACACACACACACACACACACACACACACACACACACACACACACACACACACACACACACACACACACACACACTCCTACCCCGAGGAATGGACGCTGGACATAGTGCCCCTCTCCACAACAAGCATTCATTTTAGTTATTTCAGTCTAGTATATAAGTTACTTTGTGTGTACAGTATATATATACAGTATATATATCTTGCTAGTTGTGTACTTTTGTAATTTATGTGGGATTTCTGTCAAATGTTGCTTCAACTCCCTTTGTAAATTTAAATCTGTCTCTTTCAAACCTATTCTCAGGAAAAAAAATAAAGACAGTGGATAGTATTTTTGGTTAAGCCTGTGTTCCTTCAGTTCTGTGTGCTCTGTGAGGTTCTGAGAAACCAGCCGCCTAAAACTTGCACTATAGCCCCTTGCGTGCGTCAATCAATCAATCACATTTTATTTATATAGCCCAATATCAGAAATTACAATTAGTCTCAGAGGGCTTCACAGTGTGTACAGGTACGACATCCTCTGTCCTTAGACCCTTGCAGCGCTCAAGGAAAAACTCCCCAAAACAGAGTCCCACAATTAACAGTGGAAAGTAGGAAGAAACCTCTGTGAGAGCAACTTTTAATTGACAATTTATAGTTTGACTCTAGCTCCTTCAGCAGCTGTTGTGTGGGACTGATCCTCACTGTTACAGCAGCCTGAACATTGTCAAAGTGTTTTCAAAAGAAACATTGACAGGCTGATCGAGGATATAGCATAATAGTGATTAAATGGACCATCTTCATTTATGTACTTCCATTTCTTTCCCCTCTAGGCTTTCATGTTCATGTGATATGATTGTATTCAGCCTCTTATTCAGGGACTCAAATGATTGATACCCTTTACATTTCTTATCAGAATGTATTTGCCTTTCACTTTTAGATAACTGCCCTCAGAAAATCCTGCTCCCCCCTCCCTTCAGCATTTACAAGAAATGCCCCCAGTTCTTCTAAATCCTACAGAAACTTGCAGACTGTAGTCAACACTTTGAACTGTAGCTCTCAGTCTCTGTTCATGACAGGATGTCATATTATGCTGCACTCATAAGCTTGTAAACTTTCAAAACCTTCAGCAGGGCTTTGATATAAACACATTATTCTTCAATTCCTTAGGAATTAAACTCACTGTTGAATCATATAAACTTCCACTCAAAGTTGTTTTGCTGTATTCAAGATTGTAGTGTACGGTGCAAGGGATTTATTTTAAGTTCTCTTTCCCATAATGCTGTTCCCTGGGGAGCTCTTCCCAGCCTCAGTCTTCCCCTCCATCACAACCCTGAGCACCTCATCATTGTATTTGATATCTGAGGCTGAAGAAGGCTGAACAAAATAAA